ACCAATACCAAATTTCAGAAAAGATCGTTTGAAAATTACAAAATTGGTAAATGGATTCGAGGAGGAAGAAATCACCGAGGATGATATTAAAAAAGCAGAAGAACCCAAGAGGGGACATGTTGTTGCCGAAATGGAAGAAATGGCCAAACAAAAGGCGGAATCTAAATTCAGGTTTGTAATATCAGAAAACATTAAATTTGTGTTTTAAACATTTTGTTTGTTTTTCTTTTACTCCAGATTACCGAAAGGTGTAGTTAGCCATATATCATATTTCATGGATAAATATAAATTCAACTACAAGGCAATGGTTACCGATCGTCGCAATCACGATCAATGGACGTGGAAACAATTTCGCATGAAAATTAAACAATTCATGAATATCAAGGAACAATTTAATGTGTATTTGGAAAAACGTAATCTACCGCTGGATAAAGAATTAGATTGGGAAGAATATAATTCGGACAGTGAATGGCAGTAGATTTGATTTTCTATTTTTCTGTATAGATTTAATTGAGCCTTTATTAGTATGTAAGTTTGTTTATTCTTTTAGTTTAGAATAATAAATATGAAAAGAAATGTACAAAAAAAATTGTGAAGAAATTTTAGATAATTTGTAGGGATTATTGGATATAGATAATCTATACTAATAAAAAAGTAAAGTGATCGACTGACTGACGCCCAGACGAAACGGCTGGGGCTAGAATCTTGAAATTTTGGGTGAGGGCCACTCTTGGTCCAAAGGTGTCAGAACGGTACGAAAAGTACTAAATGTACCATTTGTATTTGGCGAAACGGTGGAGCTAGAACTCTGAAATTTAAAATGAGGGTCACTGATGGAGTGTAGAATAGATGTAGTAAAGTTTTTTTTTGGACATTCGAACTATAAGTATCCGAAAAGAACTAAATTTGTTGCAATTTCGTAGCATGTGAATGGATTGAGTTAAAAACTTGAAATTTGAAATGCGAATTAAGGTAGAGAAGTACGGTCGATATAAGGAGGTGACTTTGAAAGCGTGTACTCATGTATATGAAAAGTACTAAACTGCACTAAATTTGGTACAATTTGAATTCAGAGAAACGGATGGAGATGGAATCCAGAAATTTGAAATTAACATTGCCGCCGAAGTGTAGGATTGGGATATGTAGGTAGTTTTGGAAATTTGTACTTATGAGTTTATATTTGATACAGTTTGAATATTGATGAACAGTTTGAAACTGAGGGTAATTAGAGTTGCGCTATTTTTAATTTTGTAACAAGCGTACTTTTTGTTTACAAAAGGTACGAATCGCATAAACGTACCAAAAGAAAATGCTGATTTTTTTATTATTCGTGAATACATTTGCGCATAAATTATAACATATATTTATACTCTCAGCCCTATGGCTAATGAGGGTATATATATTTTTATACGGTGAAAATGTATCTCATCTAAATATTGGTATTAGACCACATGTTTCTTTGGACCAACTCCGTTTCAGAAAATTTGGAGTCGAATTTCACATGTCCGTCCGTCTGTGATCGTGATGCACACGATAACTCTCTAAGGGTCCACTACTTCTGGTACCTCCCCCATAAATTTTCAAAATTTTCAATATTAGTAAATCCAATGTCAGGCGAATGGAATGTATGATTCTAACTAAACATTGCACAACCTATTATCTTTACCAAGAATAGATCAGGTTTGAAGATGGGACACATTGGTCCATTCCTTCTGGTACCTTCCCCTCGAATGGTCAAAATTTTCAATAATTGAATGCAATATCAGGCGAATGGAATGTGAAATTTCAACCTTACACAACCTATTATCTTTACCAACCCAATATCAAGTCCGAAGATGGGACCCAGTAGTTCACTCCTTCCGGTACCTCCCTCCAAAAGGGTCTATATTATTTGATCGGCATTTAATTCGTAACCTCTTTGATAAAAACATATACCTTATATGAAGCAAATAATAAAACCTGTGTGTAATTCCGTAGACCTCCGCAAACCATATATCTGTCGGCTACATCGACTGACAGTTTTTTACTTGTGTGTGTGTGTTTTTTTTTAATTTCAGTAATCGAGCAATACCCAAGGAATTTATTATAGAAGACCAGTAGGCATTCCACAGTTTTTACTGTTCTGATAGTTACTTAATATTATTTAGACCTCATAGGCAATGGGGAATATCTTTTTTTATATAAATGACTGAGAAGTCCAAATATACCCATTTTAATTAAGAATTATTTAAAAGACAGAAATATGGTCACTAGGTAAAGATGAAAAGATGTTCCTATTATTGAGGACCATCAGATATTTAGCATCGACTTGGAATTATAGTTTTGGATTCACTTCTTATAGCATTTCATTTCATTTCATTTCATTTATTTCATACAATGTAATATAAAAAAGCCAGCATGGCCAATAACTTATATTGACTTATATATAAAAAAAAATAAAAACCCAAACAAAGAATAAACTAAATAAATTAAAAATACATAACAGCAAAAAACAAAATTCTACATAATGAAATTTAATGCAAACCGCTAACATAACAGATTCCAAACAAGAACCCCAATCCACTGCACTCTACTTAACTGTTGCTAAGAAAAGTGGAGGGGAAAGGAAGCTTAAGGAACCATACATATAAATATACTATATATTCCTCTCGAGCCCAAGAGCAATATCAGAACCACAGACATTAAATTCCATATGTATAAATCTATAACATAAATGCTAACGAACTTAAATAAAAATGGCTCCCCAGCCAAAAATTAAAAAAAAAAGACAAAGTACCATTATGCAACCTGTAATCAGCGATTTCTTCAAAGCCAGCTTCATCAAATACGAGACAAATGCCCAAACAATTCCCTCCTATACGCAAAAGTGGAAGAGGTAAACTTACGAAGGCTCAAAGGGAGCTGATTCCACGATCTTACGACTCTAACTACAAATGATCTTTCACAAATTGCAAATTTCGCTAAAAATCCTTCAGTTACTTTTCTTAAGATTTATTTTGTAGCATACTTTGAGGATGATAATAAAGCAATGGCTGTTTGAAGGATTCAATGCATTTAATACTTTCAATATTAAGTCAATATGGTTTACAAGTCCTTCAAAACAACTTTATACTATAGCATTATATAATAATATCAAAAATAATTAAAAATGCATTAATTTATATCGTATTACTTTTATTGTTGTTTTTATTTACGTTTTTTATTTTCTTGGTTTTTTAAGAATGAAGCACATACATTTATAGTATTTCATTAATTTTAATTCTGTGTTGTGTTTTTGTTTTTTCATTTGTTTTCAATATAATATGAAGTTGTGGTTGTTCGATTCGATTTTTCATAATTATTCCTTTTTTTTTTTTTGTATTCCACATTTCGCTCTTTATTGGAAATAATTGTGTCACATCATCTCCTCGTGTGGAGGGAGTGTGTTGTGTATTGATCATCATCTTGTATGGTTATGAGGGGATAGGGTTTTAATTCCTATACACATTCATTACAAAATCGACATTAAAAAACAAACAAGATAGAAGATCTCTTGTAGTCCTTTATTTATTATTTTTTGGATTTGAGCCAACTGCTTTAAGCCAAGCCATTGAAATATGGGTGGCTGTTTCTTTTTTTCAAGTGTAAAAGTGTTTTCGTGTAAAATGTGTTGGGTTTTTATTGTTTCTTTGTATATTGAAATGATGTACTTAATTAAAATATTTATCTTAAGTTTGCCAATTGTAGAACAAATATTTTTAATTTTTCCTTGCCTCAAGGGGGGAGTTTAACAAATCCTTAGATGTATTCACATTTAGTGTTTTATGCCTTTAAGGGTTTTTTCACTTGAGATTAAATCAAATCACATTTCGATTTTGTTTGCTAAGCAAATTATTATTGAAGTTTTTTTTTTCATTCTTTCTTGTAAGCAATAAAAAAACAAAACAATTTTTGGGTTTTTTTAATTTAAAATAAAATTTCAAAACAATGTTTTGATTGCATTACAAAAAATAAATATTGCATAGGATGAGAGAGATGAATGTCGTGTGATGTCGTGTTGGATGTATGTCGCGATTTTGTGATACATTTGATTTTGAGATTTATTTTCTCATTATTGTATATCTCATCTGTTGTTGAGTATTGAGATGGGATAACATGCCTTGGGTCATGATTATAAACCATTCACAATGGCGTTATTAATTGGCATTATCCGATGATGATGACAAAACAAGGAGAGATCTGTGCGGCGGCAAGAGAATGCTGTCGATGATGATGATACGAATATCATGGATTTCCTGCGAAACGATTTACGATGTCTGTGTAAATTTAGATACAAATAATTAGTGTAATAATAAATTAGGAAAAATTCTATAAAAAGTTGTATTAAAATGCTTTCCAAATTTGTAGTAAAATCTTCTTCATAATTCTTAATAGTGGTGTTGTTGTTGGTGTTTCTGTTGATGAGAATAATGATGACAGTGATGGCCATGAGGGATGCATCTTGAGAAAGTGACTGTAAACCAAGTTGTAAGGAATCAAGGAATGATAATGATGATATTGGTGTTGTTGTTGTTGTAAGTTTGTTATTAGGAATTAATGTCTTTTCTATGCTTCTAAAATGATTGGATGATGGTGATGATGATGCGGATGTTGATGGTGGTTTTCCATAAAATTGAAAATATTGAAGGCTGCCAGTAGTAGTTGTTGTAGTGTTATTGTTGTTGTTTTTGGGTGAGTATTTTGGATTTTCTTGCATAATATCCCGTGGAATAAATTGTGATGAATTCTGGTGTGGTTGTTGTTGGAGTGTAATTTTTGTATGATTTTTGTTTTTGTTGTTCTTGTAATAATCACTAAATGTTGTTTGAATAAATTTTATAATATTATTAATGTTGTTGTTGTTATTATTGTTGTTTATGATGATTTTGGTTTTGTTGTTGTTATTGTTAATATTCTTATTTTTATATTTATGCTTATTAAATGAGTTTTCATATGCCATCCATCCTTCCTCTTTTTGGGGGAACAGAAATTGATATTCATTTTCTTGTTGTTGTTGTTGTTTTTGTTGTGGTATAACATTTTGCTGTTGTTGTTTTGTTTGTTGTTGTTGTTGCATATTCTTCTGGCTGCTCCCTAGTTATTTCTTCTTTTGGGCCTTCTCAGCGGCTTTTGTGACTTTACCCGAAGTCGTCTCTTTAAATGTCACCGACTTGATGACACCCACAGCGACAGTTTGCCTCATATCGCGCACAGCAAAACGTCCCAATGGTGGAAATTCTTGGAAAGATTCAACACACAACGGTTTGGTGGGTACCAGCATAATAATGGCGGCATCACCCGATTTAATAGCCTTCGGATCGGTTTCGGTTGTTTTACCGGTACGGCGATCACATTTCTCCTTGATTTCGGCAAATTTGCAAGCAATGTGAGCGGTATGGCAATCCAAGACAGGGGTATAGCCATTGGCAATTTGGCCAGGATGATTGAGGACAATAACCTAAACAAAAAATTATTTCAAAAATTAAAAAAATGAATAATAATTAAACGAAATAAAAATGTACAAAGCGTTTCTGTGAAATTCAAAACGAATGAATCCGAAACTTAATTTTGAAAATAAAATTTTTTTGGGATCAAATAGCATTTGTAAAAAAAATATCAAATAAATTTCAGGCTGAAAAGAAGTTTTCCTTTAGGAAACCTTATTCAGCCAGGCTGAATTGAAGTTTTCCTATTGAAAACCTTATTCAGCCAGGCTGAATAGAAGTTTTCCTATTGAAAACCTTATTCAGCCAAGCTGAATAGAAGTTTTCCTATAGAAAACCTTATTCAGCCAGGCTGAATAGAAGCTTTCCTATAGAAAACCTTATTCAGCCAGGCTGAATAGAAGTTTTCCTATAGAAAACCTTATTCAGCCAGGCTGAATAGAAGTTTTCCTATAGAAAACCTTATTCAGCCAGGCTGAATAGAAGTTTTCCTATAGAAAACCTTATTCAGCCAGGCTGAATAGAAGTTTTCCTATAGAAAACCTTATTCAGCCAGGGTGAATAGAAGTTTTCCTATAGAAAACCTTATTCAGCCAGGCTGAATAGAAGTTTTCCTGTAGAAAACCTTATTCAGCCAGGCTGAATAGAAGTTTTCCTGTAGAAACCTTATTCAGCCAGGCTGAATAGAAGTTTTCCTATAGAAAACCTTATTCAGCCAGGCTGAATAGAAGTTTTCCTATAGAAAACCTTATTCAGCCAGGCTGAATAGAAGTTTTCCTATAGAAAACTTTATTCAGCCAGACTGAATAGAAGTTTTCCTATAGCAAACTTTATTCAGCCAGACTCAATAGAAGTTTACCTATAGCAAACTTTATTCAGCCAGGCTGAATAGAAGTTTTCGTATAGAAAACCTTATTCAGCCAGGCTGAATAGAAGTTTTTGCATGGAAAACCTTATTCAGCCAAGCTGAATATAAGTTTTTCTATAGAAAATATTATTTAATTAATTATGAAAATTAAAATTGTTTCAAATCAAGTAACATTAAAAAAAACTAAATAAAATTCACACGATTCCGTTCATATCGAATTTTATAGAACCATCCGATGAATAAAACAGACACATACCTGGGCAGTAAAGTCGGCAGCCCCCTTGGGTGGACAATTCTTAGAATCACCGGCAACATAGCCACGACGCAATTCCTTAACCGAAACGTTCTTGACGTTGAAGCCCACATTGTCACCGGGCAAAGCTTCGGACAAAGCTTCATGATGCATTTCCACGGACTTGACTTCAGTTACCAAATTGACAGGAGCAAAATTGACCACCATGCCTAGGAGGATGCAGTATGAAGACCCACATCAATTGAAAGGTCTTGAAACGTACTTTCAGA